ATACACACACACACACACACACACACACACACACACACACATACATACATACACACACACACACACACAAAGTCTTAGTGATTCTCAGCACCACCCTCAATCTGTATAAATTGAAGACCTCAGGTACTTATGCAAGAGAACTTTCCTGAGCATGATTCTCTTGAACAGAGTGCTAAACTCTGAGCACTGGACAGCTATGTGTAGAGTTAAGTCCACCATTACATCAAGAATATGCAGATCTTAATTCAGGGAATTATGACATATAACATTTTATAGCCAGTTATGCTAGCATGGGATTTAGCTGACCTGGGTTAAACAAGGGACCCTGATGTTACTGATACTGGATACCATACCTCTTAAATAGTCCTTCATCTTTGGCACCAAACAAACTTGTGTAAATTGCTTTTCTCTCTCAACTCAGATGAATCAAAGAATGCTACTGCCACCTGAGCAGGGTACAGTCTAATCCAAAATTTAGAGCTTTTCACACAATGCACCAAAACAATTCAAGGAAATGGCAATCAACTAGATCCTCAGGATTGTACTGCTGACATATGGAGCTGGGGGTACTGCAGGCAAAGACTACAGTGAACTGTAGTGACAAGCTTTACTACACTTACATGATCCAGACTATAGGAGTGTTGATGAGCAACAGACTAATTTTGAATTGCTTACCAGGGACCACAGCTATATGACCTTGGCAGTGACCCAGATGCATCAAGGGATCTTGTGGACACCCAAACTACTTTAAGTTGACTAGTCAATGATGTCAGAACCTCGACAACAAATTATGAAGAGATCCAGAAACTTCCATGCCACGTCTATTGTGCTAGAACCTCAGCACTGGACTTAACCTGGTGAAGTCACGCGCACACAGCCACTTAAGCTAATGAACATCCTAAGTCACTACTGGATTTATGCATTACCAGATCTGTCTGATTGGACCTGAAAAGCCTTCCCAACAGCAAGCTGAGGCAACCATTCAGTCCCAAAAGAGAGTCAACTGCTATTTCTTTTTCTTTTCAATAAGAGCTAGAATAACTCAAACAAACAAAAAAAAAAAAAACAGCCATGAAGGAACTGAAGGAAAAAACAAAAGTGTAGTCTGTGCTCCCTGCATCTTGAAAAAGAAGCGAGTCAAGATTAGGACTTCTCCCTTTTCCACATATTCAGAATCAAGAATGGAAGTGTAGCAACTAGCGTTCAACCTTGCTCTCCACTCAGCACTACAGCTCAGCACTAAAAGATGCTAATTCTACAAACGTCTATATGCAGAAACCATTCAAATAAAAGAGCTGTTGCAGACCATTTCAAATACCCCATATTAAAACAAACAAACAAATACCTGAGAAATTAGCTACATGGGTGCATTCATCCATAACTCCTTTCATGAACCTCAGTGATTCTCTTTGTAAAGCACCTCTATTCCTTTCTCCATACAACTGATGCTCTTGTTGGTTGGGGAAGTAATTGCTGCTACAGCTACTAGTTGAAAATGTCTGATTCATACACTGTATTTTAGGAGCGTCTTGCAGCAAGAGTCTCTCCGAGGAGGCACTTACAGTACTTTTACTTGTGCTAAGGCAATGAATAGCTTCTTTAGGCACAATTTCACTTGTAGCATTCAGGTCGAACAGTTGGGAAGACAGATCTAGATCATTCAGACTGTCCACGCTGTTGGGGGCATTTTTAACGAAGTCTTGCCCCATCTTGAAAGAATCTGTCTAAAAAGAAACAGGTGTTTTATTAAGGGATTCTTAGACTGATTGGTCAGGGAATTCATAGAATCACAGAAAAAAGAAGTAGGGCTGGAAGAACCTCAGGTCATCTAGTTCAACCCCCTGCCTGAGGCAGGGTCATTCCTACCCAAACCATCCCAAGCAAACGCATGTCTATCCAATCCTAGTCCTAAAACTACACAGGCAACCCTGTCTCACAACCACAAATTATAGCATCCTAACCTGACACATGTAAAAGCAGGAAGACAATGACAGCCAACATCTTGATGCTGCAAAGTTTATTAAAAATATGCTCAAGTGATCCAAAAAGAGGGCCACACCCCCTGCTACAGAGGAAGGCAAAAAACTCCCACAATCCATGAAAAAACTCCCACAATCCATGCGAATCTAGGGGGTTAAATTCTTCCCCAATTTCAAATGGGATGACGAGCACTCACAAAATTATGAAAACAGCTCCAAGTACAGAGATATATGCACAAACAATATCCAAAGTCTAGTATGCAGCTCGGTCAATGAATGAAAGCCTTACCGTCTCTTGATATTTGGTGCCTTTCCCAAACAGAAAACCGTACAGCAATAAGTATTCAAAATACAGTGGTGATTATGCAACAGGTATGTGTCTACTTAAAAATGCAACTACTGTACATAAAAGATCATCAGTTGTTAGATCTCAATTAGTTTTCATCTCTACTCAACTGGCAAATGCCAGTAGTGTTAACAGCCTTTAAAAGTGACAATATACAGGGAAATTTTTAAATGGAGAAAGTACTTGAAAAATAGCTTCATTTAATACAGTCTTTTCTGTTTCCATTCTTTTTGGTACTCTCATTCTTAACGCATTCATTTTTTTTGCAAATAAATAGTAAAATGGATGAGATACAAATGACTGGGATCCAACAGACAACTATACATGAGAACCTGAATTTTCATACTTTATTGTACCAAAATAGTGAATTTAGCAATACAAATACATTATAAGCTTTGTATCCAAAAAACACAAGCACAAAAAAGGAGAAAAATCAGCTTTTACACAATAGTGTTAAAAATCAATAGCCGTAACAGTATTAAACCAAAGAAGGTACTGAAAAAAAATAGTAATACTGTAATAGTTTTGCATAGACTAAAAGAAAACGAGGTAAGGTGACAAATTATTGATAAAACTACAGTATGTCAGAGGGATAGTGAATCTGAAGCATCTTTGTGACTCTTGATGCCCTTCTCACTCCACTACACAAGAGAATACAGGAGATTATGGGAAGTATAGTTCAGCCACAGATGCTGGCCTACAGGGAAGAAGAGGGGCATTAGCTTATTAAAAAGCAACTCTCATGAGGCAGTCCTGTCCCACAGAAAAATATAACTTGGCAAAGTTACTGTCTTGCTGTGATAAGCATCTCTGATGAGTTTTTCCATAAACATTATTTTCCTCCCTCTCTTTGCAGGGGTGTGTTGGCAGCATGAGCCACATCCCAGTTGACTCAGCTGCAAGTTGATTCCATAAAGACCCTGGTGAAGTCCCTGGCTGAGGCCAATAATCAGTTTATTGTTAACCCCAGCCCTGGACCTAGCTTACAACATGCCAGCACAAGGGAAGCTCATGATCATGATTGATGGTTCCCCCAGTACTGGCAAGTGGAAAAGGGTGCAATTGGGATCTGATCCCCAGTCCCCAAATCATGCCTCCTGGCATGCACGTGTGGTGTTGCAGGAGGTGCGACTGTTGGGATCATATCCCATTGCATCATTAACGCACTTGGCACACATTCATTTAGTCTGCTTTACTGACCCCATCCATCCCATAACGCGTTTGAAAAATAGGCTATAGGCTGAAAAATCCACTCGCCTGTGGATACTTAGAAGATAGAAAGACCATTTATATTTGAGACAAAGGCTGGAGAAGCCAGCTGCCATTTCTGTTCTTGTGAACACCTTAGGTGATTCAGAGGGGTTTACCAGAACAAAAGATGTCAAAGCAAAGCATCAAAGTAGTGCCACTGGGTAAGTTATCAAAACACTAAGAGAAACAAGTATCAGACCTAGAACCCAGGGCATAAAAATAAGCCAGCAAGAGAAAGCAACAAAACAGATAGAATGATGTTACCTAAACAAGGAAAGTATAGGACATCCAGGACAATAGTAAAAAAATAATCATAGTATATTCTACAGTAGTGTTCTTTTGGACACAGTCACCCCCAAAATACAAAATCTCCACAAACTAGATTTCTTTTTCTATTAGAAAAAATAAAAAATTATGTACTTGCTTCCATCATGTCTTTATGGGATCATAAATAATTTAAAATACTTGAATCAGGAGCTGCATTTTTTTTTTT